ATTATTTATTGTTTGATGAGACAAACACACTGGTTTTAATTAATGGTTTGGCTTTGAAAGGGCCTACAATGGTTCCAAATTGTAGGTTTGATTGTTAAACTTTGCTTTGGTTTGATTGTTAGACTTTGCTTTGGTTTGAAAGGTTTTGAAAATGTCTTTCGCTGTGTGTCTTTGATAAATGTCTTAGCCGTTATCACAGTGGCGGTAATGCCTTAGTTATTTCCTATTTCGTATTTTAAAAGGATAAACCATGTATTTAAAGGAAGGAAATTTCTAGGGTGTTACATCCACATCCTGTAAGGACGCTTTTGAAAAAATTAACAGTCATCCAAAAAAAAAAAGGTGACTAATGGAGAGAGCCCGCCAAAGGAGCAACACATTGCCCGCAAACTTCCCACCTCTCCGGCACTTCGAAGTAGATGAGAAAAATACTCAACACCTAAGAGAAAAAGATACGGGGAAATTGGATCGTTTTGGCGGATACCCTTTTCGGAGAAAATTCCTCCGAAGGCTGGCCATTGATAAGCACAAAAAAAGTAATCGAACGGACATAATATATCACTCTACTCCGCCAACCAACATTAAAACCAAACTTTTCCAAGAACAACATCAAGAAATCTCATACAATCCTTTCATAAGCCTTCAACATATCTGACTTCATGGCCATAACACCCTTCTTGTTTGTCAAAATTTTCATATAATGAAACACTTCAAAAGCCACTAAAATAATATCAGAAATCAAATGCCCCGAGGTAAAAGCACTCTGATTAACTGAAATTATCTTATTCAGAAAGACTTTCAAGTGATTTGCAAGCGCCTTTGACACCAATTTGTAAATCACATTGCACAAGGATATAGGCAATAAGCCTGAAATCCATCATATGGTCCACATTTTTCTTTTTCAAGCAATATAAGTCATGTTTAGAGAAGAAGGGATAGAAGCACCTTACAGAATAGACAAGACCGAACTAGTGACCACACGACCAACAATATGCCAGTAAGACTGAAAGAATAAGGGGCACATACACTCTGGACCCACAAAGCCGCTTTCACCTCCTCCGCCATATAAGTTGCCCTTAGAGTAGCATTATCTCATCATTAACTATACTCTAAAAGTCCTGTAAAGCATACTCAATCATCGAGGGATCGGAAGAAGTAATCAAGTCCCAAAAGTAGGACACACCAACTACACCGATTGCTTTGTCTCCTTCATGGCTCTCGTCATTATCATCCTTCAAAGAATGAATGGTATTTTTATCTTTCCTGCTTGAAGCTCATTAATGGAAAAACTTAGTATTTTTGTTACCCTTGAAGGTTTTATGTCTTCGTCAAGTGCAATTACTAGATATATAAATGGATCAAATTATGGAGATAATTAAGTTCGTTCTTTTGGGTCGTCGTTATATCATAGCTAGAGGTACTAACGATCTTTGGGCTAGTGAAATAGTCTAAAGCCCAATTGACCTGATCCTATAAGGTCACACAAGGGCCTAGATTGAGCATAAGAGGAAAAGGCCCATGATGGGCCTTCTCCCTCTAGTGGCCAGCCATATGGAGCAGATTAGAGAGTTTGGGCGTTGCTTCCTAGTCTAATTATAATATGATTATAAATAGACTAGGTGTCTAGGGTTGGACAATAAGAATTTACTGATCAGTTATATCAAACCCTAATGAGTAAACATAACCCCTAATCTCTCTCTCTCTCACACGTCTCTCTCCCCTCCTTGCGTTGCTGTCCGTGCGTAGTGGTGGTGGTGGTGGTGGTGTTCGTTGTGGTGGCCGGTTGTCCATAAAGGTGGTGATCGCGGTGTTTCTCCTTCGTTAGACCAATCTAGTCATGGTGGACGGCTCATTTGAATCCTGTGGACTAAGTAGAGGAGCAACACTCAGGGCTCTATTCTCTCCCTAATTGTCAATCAATTTGCTATGTGGAGATCACACTTCAAAAGTATAATTATGTGATTCTTGTGCGTTATGCATGTGATCTTGTTTTAGGTGCGTATGGATATGATTCATGAAATCCCGCTTAGAGTACCTAAATCCCTACAACCCTTTGCTAACCACAAGACTCGAGACCGTTGCTTCCAAAAATACCTCTTCGTGCTGTACCAAACACGCAATGTCCCTTACTAGAGCTCTCCTCATTTCAAGCTTGGCAGCCGTGAGTCCACCCTTATTCAAAATTTTAAGTTTTTTTTCTTTTCTTCCGCAACTCACGAAAAGTAGCCCCGAAATTCTTCGCACTCCACTCCTTCAAATCACTTGTGCACATTGCCAGCTTAGACTCCAAAGAAAACCCGCCTAACCACGCATTTTCCACTACCCTTACACCCTTCCTCCACTTGCCAATATTGTTAAAATCGAAAAGGTTTTTCTCCAAGTTCACCACCATTATTTTCTTGCATCACGATTTTAGTGAGGGCATGGTTGGACCATTCTCTGTCAAGATGAAATAAACGAGCATTTGGGAAAATAATTTTCCACTCATTTGTCGCTAAAGCTCGATCAAGTCTACATTGGATATTCTCACCCTCCTCTCTACCATTAACTTAAGTAAATTCATAACCCGAAAAACTAAAATTTCGTAAGCCAAAAAAATCCACCGCCTCCCTAAATTATCCATCTGCCAATCAGCTCGATCATTACCCCTAAGCTTCTCTAATGGAAAATGAATTTCATTAAAAGCACCAATGAAAACCCAAGGGATAGATGATTGCGAAGCCAACTCATTTAGCAAACTCCATCAGAGATGTCTAAACTATATTTTTGGCTACCCATAAAAACTCGTTAACCTCCACCCGTCTTCCCCAAGGCCACTCCGAACCACCACATCCATGTGATGCACTGAATTGACCGTAACTCAACATCAATACACTTCCTCAATGCTACCCCACCCGAACGACCAATCGAATCAACTACCAACCCCTCAAAATCCCCAATCTATCATGAACTATGCGAAACTCCATGCTACTCAACTTCATCGGTGGTAAAAATATCACAGACAATGCCTCCCTCCGGATAAGATCCTGGAGTCCACTATAGTTTAGACTCTAGATATTCACTAAGCTCGACGGGGTAGCTCATTTGCTACTACCGCCATATGCAATCCATTCGAGTTATCATCTCCAACGACTTTTTTTCCCATATTTTCCAACTCCATCAAGTCATTTTCCCCCTCCCTATTTATTTTCCCTAGTAAAACATCCCCTTCATAATACATCTTACACACCCCTTCCTCTCTACTTTTATCTGCATTAAATTTTCTTGTCTTTTTCCCAGTAAACTTCACGGCCTTACTCCCTCCTTTGCCATAAAAGTCATAGCAGGTAATACTTCCCCTTTATTCACTAAAGTAGCCGCCTTTCCCTCTTCTAAAACCCTATCCTCTTCTAAAACTCTATTCTCTTCAAGTGTCTTTGCTCAAGAAATTAAATACCCCATCAATTGCACCATACTCCTCACCACTTCCTTTTATCCCTTGCCTCTCCATAGTACTCCCCACTTCTCTAAATCACTCAACAATACAGGCACCTCATTCTTCTCCCTATCATCATCATTCTCTTGCTCGTCTTTTTTTGGTGATATAAGTTGCTTTCTCACCTTTAATACAACATCAAGCTCTTCAACCTCTTTCATTCTTCCTCGTCTTGGGACGTTTTAAGCCACCGTCCCCACCCCAAGTTTGATTTTTTACTCTCCTTCGAAACCATCACACAATCACATTCCGAGTGCCCTATTACACCACACACATAGCAGAATTACGAAAGTCATTCATAGGCAAACTCTACTATTACCTCCCTGCCCCCTTAGTCTCTGATACGCTGGAACCTTCGTAATGGCTTAGCTATATTCAGCATAACCCTCACCCCTTCGAAATCTATCAAGCCCTAGGACATCCTCCTCCAACTCCATTACCTCCCCCATATTAGCAACAATCTCCTTCACGTCATTGTCTAATCGACAATCGAAGGTGTTTATTCTTACCCAAAACGGTGAATGGAACAAAGACACTTGATCAGGCTCTTCATCTCCTTCCACTTCCTTTAGCACAAGAAGCATATTATCAAAACACCAAGGTCGACCATTAAAAACTTTCTCCTTGTCCTTCCAATAGAAGAATTGGAATGCGTAGAGGTTTGGGCCAAGAACCTTAATGACTAGCTTGTTCGAAAGAGTCCACACCTTTGTCATGGTAGTTTTGAACGCTTCTACATTATATGGTCTCTCGGTGACGATCTGCCCTATCAGCATTAGGTTAAATCGTTCATTCGAACAATTCGACTCAACGACTCCTAAATCCACCAGTCCCCCTTCAGTAATTCGCATGTTTGCATATCTAGAAACAATTTCATTTGCGATTCTCTTGATCGGAAGCCACCAGAATAGCAGCAAAAATTGTTCTCATGCGGCAGGAAAACCCTAGTCTAGTAGAAAGTAAGGTCTGCCGTTTCTTTCGAGGGAGATCTCTTAGTTTTGCTTATAATAGTATGTAATAGTTAAGAAAATCATCTTTCACGTTACTAATTTTTATCCCTTTTTATTTTAAAAGGCTACAATTGACAAAGTGAATATATATATATATATATATATTTTTTTTTTTTTTGAACGAGGCAAAGTAAATACTTTAAAATAGCTACATTTGCTAAATTTCCAAACTACAAAAAGTTAAATTGTGTCAATTATTACAAAACGAAGGTAATTCAAGTACTCCGTGTTAAAGAATGGTCAAGGAACATTAGCAAATAAGACAAATTTAAGTGTACCCCTAATAATAATAATACTCTCTATTTTTTTTTTTGCCCCATTTGACTTTTTACGGTATTCAAGACAAGTCTTAGAACGCACATATCTTCATTTCCGTACACGTGAAAATTATAAAAACGTGATATAAATAAAATATGTAATGAGCCGAATCTACCAAGATCACCCATGATAATATTATTTCTTATTTATTAACGGTAATTTACGATGACAATAGTGCAAAAATAAAGAGACTAATAAAAGAGTAAAAGTGCCTAAACCCCTAAACCCTCCATTTTCCCTGGTCTCCATTCTTCTCAATTTCCAACTCCTCCAATTTCCCCTCTTTGCTGCCTCCATAACCACCACCTCCAATATGATATACGGCGGAAAAAGCTTCGTCTCCTCTTTGCCGGCGTTCTCTAAAGACGCAAAACGCCTCCTTATTTGCTCCGGTAACACTGTCTCCGTCTTCAGCACCTCCACTGGCATGCAGGTATATATCTTTCTTTTCATCTCCAGTATACCCAGAAAACCAGAAATCATTCAATTGATGAATTTGAGAATTTTGTTGTATCTCATTTGTTTGCTCAGATAACTGAATTGGAAGGTCATAGAGCACTTGTTACTTCTGTTGTGGTGGTTCCTAGCTCAAGTAAGCTTTTGTGCTATTGTTGGACCTCGTCTCTTGACGGCACTATTCGGTACTGGGATTTCGCGGTACCTGAATTGATGAAGACGGTCGATATTCGTCTCCCTGTTTTTTCAATGGTATGAAATTGTAATATTATAGAGTTTTATGCTTATTTTTTAGTTTATTGGGTTTTCTTTAATTTGAATGTTATTTGGGTGCTGCTGTGTTTTCTAATTGAAAGATTTTCGCTTTTCGTAGTGATTGAATTGATTTATTTTGGCTGTAAATTAGTATCATTGAAGAAGGCCGTGTTGCTTTCATAGATATTTTGATACTTTTGTCACATATTTAGTTTGATTTTTGGGTACTTCAGGCTGTAAAATTGACGAAGAAGCTAGTCATTTCTTTTCACTCTTGTGATAATATTAAACAGGATGTATCTGTGAGGGCATGATTGCAGTTTAGTCAAAATTATGACTAAAAGTATGCTTAGTAAGAGTTGTTGATTGGTAATTGAGACCTTTGAAGGGCATAGTTATTGACTGTGAAGGTCATAAATTTCCATTGTTTATTTCATAATCTCTTGAGAAGATGAACATAATACAGCTGTTGTTTTATAGTAATCATTAATTGTTGATAATGAAATACAAGTATAATATTCACGGGTTTATACGGAGCTTCTTGCTTTTAGCTATTGAAGTTTGAGTGTTTAGGTTAAGACTTATGAATCTTGTTGCCATTTCTATTTGTGAAATAGTATAATGAAGGTGGCATGTTTTGTGGTTTATGCGCGATTAATTTGATCTTCAGCATTATGTTTTTGCAATGAATCCTTAATATATTCATCTTCTTACAATTTCAGGTGATCCCAAAATTTCCGTCTAAACAAGAAGATGAGGGTGGTAAACCAACTGATTTGTTTGCTTATATATCTGTAGAAGATGTAAGCAATCCTGGTGACAAGACTAACCGTTTACTTGGGCAAATTAGAAAGTGCAACTTAACTAAATCTAAGCTGATCCCTGCAGTGATATTAAAAGAGGTTGGTTGTACTAAATCCCCTAGTGCATAATTATTATGTATCATACTATTTTTTGTGTTTAATGAATAGTTGACCCTAATGTGAAGTATATGTTCTCTTTTGATGCAGAAGTCAGTTCATAGAGCCTTTCTTCTGTTCTACTGTTACAGAGAATCCTGCTAAAGCTTTTTATTCTTGTAATTTCTTTTCATGTACTCTATAAGAGATGGCTGTTTTCTCCATTTTTTTTTTTGTGGTTGAGTAAATATGTCATCATCTGGGCTGAGCTTTCTGTTGGTTATCTTCCTAATATGTTGAAAATAGGGATGATGAATTATTAAGTTGTTTAACTCTGTACTGTGCTGTTAAGTGAATACTGGCTGTTTGATTTTCTGGAGCAGAACAATGTCCCATGGCATGCTTCTGTGAGGGATCAGATTTGGTGAATACTTTTGACATTTTGAGCTAACATTTTTACTGTGAATCAGTGAATGCTAGTCTATTGTGTGAATTTTTCTCTTATACCCCCATCTGAGGCATATTGTTGTTTTAGTAATATCTCTTAATGCTGTTTTGTTCCTTTAGTATTGCCCATTTTGAATAGATGTCAACTGCAGTACATGTATTACAATTTTTAAATTTATCATTTTTATTTTTGTGAGGCTGCTTCAGACAAGTAACCTATTTTAAATCTCTGCAGACTGCTCGGCCTGAGTTTATTACTTGTAGTCCCTCGGGGGAATTCTTTGGTATTCATATTAAACGCTCACTTTATATTTGGAAAGTTCCAGCTGATGAAAGTGAGCGTGCCTTAGTGAGGAAGATGAAATTGCACCATACAAAAAATTTTACGACTTTTGCCTTCCATCCAAATCATAACGTTGTGGCTACTGGCGATGCAAGTGGGAGGATTTGTGTCTGGAGGGGTTTCGGTGCTAGAACATTTTTCAAAGGCAATGATAAGGGGAACGCAAAGCTAATGAAATCTGAAGATGAAAGAACTGGGGTTAGAGAAGATGATGATGTTGAGTCATGCTCTACATGGCATTGGCACTCATCTGAAGTGAAGTTTCTTGCCTTTTCTACTGATGGAGCCTATTTGTACTCAGGTTTATAAGTCATTTTTAGTTGATTCTTTATGCTTATTTCTTAATTTTATGTGTAACCTCTTTTCATTGCTTCAAGGTATATCAATATCTGGCCTAGGTAGTTATTTTAATGGTGCAACATAGATTGATCTCATGCATTTAATCTTTCTTGTTTTTTCTTCTCGTTCATCTATTTAGATATTTTCTAGGTCTTTGCTTATTTATTTATTTTCTTTTAATGTTACTAGGGTTCTTTGGTCACCTAGGGAAATTGCTGTTATATACATATGTTGATGCCCCCCTCTTTTTTTTTTTTTTTTTTTTTTTTTTTTTTTTTTTTTTTTTTATCAAAATTAAAAATAATAAGAGTCTTGTAGAATAAGTGTAAAAAATCTACCAAAAAATTTGTGACCAATTAGGTTTGGGCATATGGCAAAAGTTGATAAGACCTCTCTCCCATATAATCGGCAGTAAAGCATTTTATTTTAACTTCTTTGCATTTTTGTTGCTGACTTTCCTTTGTTTGTTCCCAGAAAAGGTTTGCATTTAATGTGATGTGACATCTGCAATTTTTTGGAATTATTTATGAGATATAATCATTATGATTTTCACACTCACGTCTTCCCTATCCTCACAATTATTGTCAATTGTCATTAAATTTTTTCTACTGTACTTTGGCTATTATTGAGGGTTTCTAAAATATGGCTGTGTATAATTGGACTGTCAGCAACTATGAAGGCTTTAAATAAAATTTTCTGATTGATAATGACCAGGGGGAAATGAAGGAGTGCTTGTCCTGTGGCAGCTGGACACTGGGAAGAGAAAGTTTCTACCACGAATTGGATCTCCTCTACTACATTTTGTGCATTCGTGTGATCCTACGCTCTCTGTGGTAAGTATAGTGTTATATCTAGATACTGCCTGACTATTTTGATCTGGTTCTATTATTGGTAAAAGGAGTACAATGTGTTCACATGTGTGTGTTTCTCTCTCTTTCTCTCTCTCTCTCTCTCTCTTTTTTTTTTTCATAATTGAACTCTACTTCTATTCCATAACTCATGAAAAGAAGGATCTTTAGATATCTTGTGCAGATAATCAGATCCACTTTTTGAAGATGCCATCATTGGAAATCTTGAAGTCCATAGCGGGAATTAAGGTTGGTGCTGCTTGATCTCATATCTGGTGTGTGTGCACATGCAAGTTTAAGTGTAGGGGTCAATAATTTTTTTGGTACTACAGTATACAATTAGAATTACACCATCATAATTTAGTAATAGTACTATTAAATTTACATATAGAGAATTACATCATCATAATTTAGTCTATGATTTTGTAGGATGTCTTTTTTCTTGACAAAATAAGAACACATTTTTCAAAAGAGTTTGTTTTCAACTTTAATCTAAATAATGTGCCTATATTTCTCAACTTCAAAAGAATGTGGAATTTTCAATTCTTTAATTCATGGCATGATCCCAAGATGACTGACATTTTGAGGTGCCATTTCCATGACTCGATATTGCAAGCATTAACAAAAGTTGGAAGCCAGAGTTCCATAAAGAGATTTAGCAAGAAAAGTTGTGGTCATTGTAGATCAGTAACTCTTGACGTATCCATCAAATGATGGGGTCTTAACATGGTTCCAAAAAAAAAAAAAACTTTGTGTGGTGCTAATTGACTTACATATAGCTTGGTATAGCGTATTGAAACTATTGACTTACATATAGCTTGGTATTGGTATAGCGTATTGAAACTATTGACGCATCTTGTTCCATCTGCTTGATATTGAGTTTGCTTGACTGATTAGCTATACTCTTGCCTTCCAAAAATGAATCAATTTCTTGGTTAAAACATATGCAGCCTAATCTTGCTGCTGTTTGTGATAGAAATTCTAATGCTGTACTTTGCAGCTTCCTTGTTCTTTTCCAGATATGTGGAATGGATTATCTAGTGGTTTCACCTTTGATCATTCAGCTGGTTTAGTTGCTCTGCCTACAGATAATTACCGTATCCAGTTCTATAGCTTGTTGGATGATACTGAAATCACAGAGGTGCAATGCTCGAATTATATTGATATCTTATTTACTCATTGATTTATGTTTGTTGACATTATTCTGTCTTTTTCTTTTTCAATAAATTAGTTTTATTGTGCATAAATTGATTGTTATATGTAAGTTGATTTTTACTTATTTATACCACCTTTGTTCATTTGTGTTGCTCCATTTAAGATCATTTTAGATTCAACCAAATGGAATATAATACTCTTGATAAATATGTACAGATAATATATTCTTTGTGATCCTGTTTGATTCACCTCGGATGTGTAATTTCAAAATAGTAATATCTACCATTTTTATTATATATATCTACAAATATTTATCTACTAATATTTTATATGTATCTACACCTTTAAAAAAAAAAAATATATATGTATCTACAAATGTTTAGTTGTATCTACAAATATTGAGTTGTATCTAAATATTGATACTAAATATCCCCATGAAAAGAACAACTATGCAGTATAAAAATTACTTTTCAATAAAATATAGATAATAAATACACAAATATTTAAAATCTTTGTCCCTTGTTTATTTTCTGCTCCAAATATTTCATGATGTTTCCTTAATTTATATTTAAATAAAATATAAATGAGTTGGCCTTCAATTATGGATGAGCATAACAGGCTAACCCCACCTTATCCTTGCGATGACAACAGATTGTTTCAATTGACCTTTAACTTAATGAGGTCCTGTTCTGTTCACTGAAATAAATATCTAATGAGGAGCCCTATTTGAGTATTACAAATCCTAGATCTCCAGACTAGTTTGAGTTGTATTTAATGAGGATCCCTATTTTTTTATTTTAGTTTTTCACAATGGATGAATCAAGGGCGTTCCATAACTCCTTGAGGTCCTTCAAATTGGGCTGAGATATGAATACTCCATTGTTACTACATGATCTTTTTACTATATTTTAAATATACAATTCCTCGAGGTCCTTTGAGTTGATTGGTCACTAAATGATCTTTATACTATATTTTTTAAATATATGAACCCCACAAATGTTTTTTCACTGTCTTCTATTATGCTTAATCCTGCAGGTTCAAATCTGTGAAAGAAATCATCAACCAAGCGATGAAATTACGGTACCTGTCTTTACCCTTTTCTCTCTCAGTTATTTGAAATCGTTGTGTTGACAAGTATATTATGCTTTATTGTTATGTATCCTATACTACTAGGCTGCATAATTTTTCTTAGTTATATGTGATAAGGTTTTATGATTTATATGTTTACATATATTTTTACTCTATCTAAGGAAGATGGATCTTCTCTGGTTTTCTTATATTGGGTTAGTCACACCCATAAATTCTTATATATGCCTCTTGGAAGTTGACTTGCTTAGTTAACACATTAAGGATACCACAGTACAACTATTGTACTCTTGAGGGGAATCAGACATATCCTATGACAGAAAAAGCAGCTTAGCTGAAGGGTCAGGAAGAAAGAACAAGTTGTAACTTGTGTTTGCATACTATTATTTGTGATGGCTCATAAGGGGACTTGGCACATTTTAATTAAATTTTAACATCTTTTCTTTTAGAACACCCCTCTCTAATTTGCATTTTTAAGTTTGTTATTGAAGAAGCATTTTAAGTGTTGGGTTCAATGGTTTCATTCCCTTCTTCCACGTTAAATGAATGTATTCGTCTGTCTACTATCAAAACTCCGAATCCCCTCTGAGGATTTGATTTTCCTTTTTAACTTTACCACAAGTCCACAACTGCTGTCACTGCCATCCTCAATAACCATTTATCTCGCATCTCGCACCACCATATCCGCCATAAATGGCCTCAGCAATAAACTACCACACCATTATTTCCCAGCAAAGAGATGGAAAGCACTGCATAAGCCCGAGGCCTCATCCATGGGCCCCTCTTCACATTTGATGGTCTCCATCATCCACCACCAGATCTTTCACCATATTTAAGTCTTTGATGTTACTGCAATTAGATCTGAACCTTCTTCAATTCACATCATCTCCAAAATCATAAAAAGTCAATTGTCTGAAATGTTGATCCTACATCACTAACAAATCCCCATCAACAAAATCTTAAGGTCTTTAGCGGTTGAATTTGATCATTGAAGCCTTGAAATCTTTCACGAGTGTTTCTTTATATCACAACTAGCAGATCATAAGATGTACAATTATACACATGAAGACTCAATACCTAGAAAGTATTTTAGAAAAGATATCGTACTCATCTGAATCATTAATGTATTGAATTTTCTTTTCCATTTACATTTCCTCCGTCTCTTTCCCCTTTGTTTTTTCCGTCTTGTAGGAAGACCTTTATGCTGAGGACATTAAAATATCATTATCTCCATGCTTTAACAAGGCTGCCACGTAAATTGTGGTAGAGGGGAGGGGTCAAATTATGTATTTTTATCCATACAATTGGAAATATCTCTTTAAGCTCTAGCCTCTCGCTACAGTAAAATTAATTTGTAGCATCCATGGATGTGATGAATTGTATTCAAGTAAGGATTACTAATTTATTTCTCTCTACTTGTCCATTCTTCATCAAATTTGTATGTGCTTTTGTTGAATAGCCCATGAAATTATAGCCTAATTTTTTCCAAAAGTTCAAATGTACTGGGAATAGGGCTGGGCAAAACTATTTGATAATCCGAAAATCCGAAATTCCGATCCGAAAATTTCGGATATCGGATATCGAAAATTTCGATTTCGGATATCCGAATATCCGAAAAAAAGTCGGATATCGGATTGGATATCCGATCCGAAATCCGAAAAAACACTTTTTTTACAAAAAAAAAAAAAAAAAAAAAATTTACAAAAAATCCGGAATTCGGATAACCCTAAACCCCTAATGAATCCGCCTCTTTATCTTTCTCCTCTATTTTCTCCCTCCTCCCTGACTCCCTCCTCTCTGGCTCTCTCATCTCAGAACTCCCTCCTCTCTCATCTCAGATCTCCCTCCTCCCTCCTCTCTCATCTCAGATCTCTTCATCTCCCTCTTCATCTTCTGTTTGTAGGCCTCCATTATCGGCAATTTCTGAGCTTTCTCTCTCCTCTGAAAATGGCAAGTTGTTCATGATGACTTCTCAGATCTCCCATCCTTTTCTCAATCTCATCTCGAGCTCCAACAATGGTGGTCGCTGCTTGTTCCAGGATAAGGGTTTGGCTCATTGTCCTAATCTATTCTACCATCAATGAAACTTTTCATCATCGCTCGATTAATTTCATCATGCCAATGTCTGTAATATATCTTGTCTATTCACTCATTTTTTTTGTTAATTAATTCGTCAATTTTTGTTGTTAGAATTGGTCAATAATCTGATTTGTATAATTAACCCCCTTCTCTTCTCTTTTATGCTTATTAATGAAAATTTCGTATCTAACTAATGGTTTCAATTTCAATGGGTTTGATTTGAAACCTTTTTTTTTTTGGTGGTTGTTGAATCCCTCTTCTCCAGTCAGTTTCTTTAATTTTGGGGGTTTACTGAATTACTGGATAAGATTATGGTGTATGATTGATACTTTGATAGCAAGTTGCAAGGTTTGATTTCAAGCTGTAGTTTGAGTGTAAAAATAAATTATGTATATATATTTTTTTTTTAAATTGTTAAAGTGTAAAAAAAACCATATTATTAGATGAGTCGGATATTGGATATCCGAACTATCCGATCCGAAAATTTCGGATATCCGAAAAATTTCGGATCGGATACGGATATCAAATATCTGATTTTTCAGATACGGATATCCGAACCGAAATCCAATTCCGGATCGGATATCCGATCCGTGCTCACCCTTAACTGGGAATGGTTTTCCATAGTATATTGCCCACTGGCCGCTGTTATGTCTAGAATTTCATATACTGAGCTTCTGAAATTAAGCGACTTGAGAGTTGTTCTTGTCTATGGGCTGTTCTAGTATGGGTTTGTGTAAGTGTTCATCTTGGTTTCTTTCAATGACAGTCTTTTGTTTCCTGGAAAGAGGAAAAGTTGCTTTCATTTTTTTTTTATATATTTTTTTCTGCTTCATGGCCCAGTTCTTTTTTCCCCATTGAGGAACATAGAGTGGCTTGAAAATGTTTTTAATGTTCCTGCTAATTTTTTTTACAGGTGGTAGTGAGCTTTGTGGCACTTTCACATGATGGCTCTTTGATGAGTACTATTGAAACTAGGCTAGCTGAAGATGGTGTAGGAGGCCTTGTTTGCTTGAAGTTTTGGGAATCTGAGACCCAGGAGAAAGAATATAATCTTTCTACCATAGTTTATGAACCTCATAGGTTTGTTTCTTATATCATATGTGCTCTAGAATTGTTTTCGCATCTTCTATCCTATGTTTACTGAAACTGGGGGGATGTACTGTGCTCAAATGCTTATATGGTCTTAGCTAAATTTCCAATTCCATGTACACTTAGAAGTTGGAACACACTTAATGCTGTTGTTTCTCTTAGACTAACAAATAATATTGGTTACAAATCATTTACCATCTCTTGTGTGATTAATGAATTGTCTAATTTCCGCAGCTACTGTTTTATACTTCCTCCGTTTTCTTTTGGTTGCAACACAGCCTTTAGGCACACAGTTTTAGGCAGCGACTAGTGAAAGTAAATGACTGATTTTTTCAAAATTATTTTAACACTAGGATTAGAGAAGGGTTAGTATCATGTGTATAATTATTTTGATTAATTTGGTCGTTTACATTATATAATCTCAACCTCAAAGTACGTGCCATAAGGCTGTGTTGCAAGTATAAAAACAGAGGAAGTATATTTTATACTTTTATTGTTCATGTAGATCTGCTTCTGTTGGGGTTACATTTAATTAGTATGGGCCTGTTTTGCTCTAATTAGAATCTTAGTAAAAAGGCGTGAGGCGCAAAAGGTCCCTAGAGTCTAGGCGCAAGGCAAAGTCATGCACCTTTCGTATACAAGGCACAGCTCTGTTATGTTTTTATATGTTATTTTTATTTTAATGCTTTTTGGTTATAAATCTAGTAAAAAAAAAAATTAAATAAATAAATAAAATCAAAGCATAATAAGTACTATAAATCTCTTTAAAATTTCAGAAAATAGGGAGAGGGGGTGGTTTCAAAAAGTCTTGACAAAAAGTGAGCCTCTATTATCATGACATAGCCGCACAAGACCATCTCATCAAAACCATCCAACTTGACCTCTTCAACACAAAGACATCCAAAAGCATTGGGACTAAATCTTTTTCACAATTATTTAGTATCTATTAAGTAAAATTTCATTCTTATTATAATGATGGTACTAACTCTTCTGAAATAGTAGCTTCCTTAAGTAAAGAGAATATGAATAAACCTGGAAATTGAGCTTTTAGGATATGATTCCTGGCTTCCTGCTCCATATGTAATGCCACAATGGAACAATTGAGCCAGTATCTGCGTTTCTGGGCAAGGAATTGAAAACATGCAACTCTCTGGATATAGATTTCCTTATGCTTGGGCCACGAAAAGAAGAAATTTTGCATCACCATCCAAGGTTCACTGCATTGTATTTGAGCTTGATGGTGATCTTCCACTAGCTTCATCATTAAGTGTGAACCTGTAGAGCCAATTTGTTTATAGAGCTTCTGCTTGAACGCCTTAATCCCATAAGTGGGGTCGGCTACATGAACCAACATGAGGACTTCCCAGGAGGTCACCCATCCTAGTATGGCATCCAGAAAACCTACCTTAGGACCATTCTGTAGAGATGAAGCTGTTTAGAATTCAATCACAGATAGAATATTGGATTTCTTTTCTAGAAAGTTCTATCTCTGACATTTGTCAAACGGCTCAAATCTTTTGTACTTAGTTAATAGTTTTCTTTCATTTTTCACGTTTGAAAGCATAACTGAAGTTTGGTCTTTTTAATTTTTATTACTTGTTTAATACTTTTCAGGGATGCTGCTGTTTCTGCTGTTGTTTTTCATCCTAGAAGGAAAATGGCTGTCAGTTGTTCATATGGTGGTGATTTTAAGGTACTAATTTGGAATACATTATAATTCGGCAGTTATCTTGATTCAGAGACAAATTAAACTCTTACAATATTTTACTTTTCAGATTTGGGTCCAAAGTAACACTACTCAAAGTAAAGGTGGCGTTGATAGTTGCTCAGGGTGGCTTTGCCATTCTGTTGGTTCCTACAAGTATGATTTTGATTATAACTTATTCTCGAGTATGTAATATAGTGGAATATGCCGTTCATCTTGAGTTCAGTTGTGAATAGTTTAATATGCAGTAGGGTGTGATATGCTTATAAAGTTTTTAGCTTTTTATTTACATGTGCCTTACCTTTTAGGTTATAAAATGTATGTGTCCCCTGCAGTTTGCTCTTTCTTTTTTATTTTTTTGGCTAAAACTATTTGGTTTGTATGTTTTCTTCATCATTACTGCTGCCTTGAATTCCAGTTTATACTCTTCTCTTTTTGCCTCTTGTCATTATTCTATTAATTGTTGTCATTATTTATATTTACAGGGGGAAGTCTATGACAGCTGCCACCTTTTCTGCTGATGGCTCCATATTGGCTATTGCTGCTGAAACTGTGATAACTCTATGGGATCCAGATAGAAATTATCTTGTGTCTATAGTTGGAGAAACTTATACGGTAATCTTATGTGTATATATTTTATGTTTTTTTGACTACTTTGTCTTGTACGGACAATAGTTATAAAACAGTAGGAAATGAGTACTCCCTCCGTCCCATATTATAGTTCATGTTTTCCTTGGAGACCCAAAATATTGTTCCTGTTTCTGATTTTTGGATAGTATGTAAAGACTATTGTACCCTCATTTTTTTTAACTTTACTCATTCTACTTCCTAAATTACCATCGACTTTTCTACCTGCATTGTACTTTTTTCCACTTTCTCTCTGTAACTTTTGTTCTATAATTGTACTTTTCACTTTTTTTTTTTTTTTTTAATGTACTTCATCCACTTTCTCTTTCTATTTCTTAAATACCGTGAAAAAACACAAATAGGAACAATATATTGGGACGGAGGGAGTATTTTGAAATCTTGAAAAGTAGTGGAGGTCCTCTGATGTGAACTTCCGTTTTGAGCAGGAATCATCTAGCCTGTTTCCTGCTACAATTAGACAAAGCAAGGCTGTAATATCTGTCTACACAAAATATACTATTGTGTTTCATGTCATGCCATGAAATTTCTATTATCAAGCTGGACTTTCAGACTCTAAATGAAGTAATTGTATCAGTGAGAAAGAGAGAGAAATCCTAAATTTGCTGATTTAGCTGGCGAAGTCTGATCAGATTGACCATTTTTTTCTTTCTTTTTTTTTTCCATCAACCTATTTTCAAGTAGAAGCTTCTCCATCGGATAGGGAATTACAATCAATGCTCTTCCAAACAACAGATTTGGCGAAACCACCATACTAATAGAGGCTTTCCATGTGAATGACCTTAATTTTTTTGCATATCCATGTACTGTTTCTTTTTAAAGACTCCCAACAAATCCACCTTATTTTTAAGCTCCTGGGGTGAATGATATGCACTGTATTCAAGGGTATTTCTGTTGCTTTTATGTTTTCATTTGAGATAAGTATTCTCTGTAAGTTGGTTTGCAAGTGAATGTTTTTTAGAATTGAGTATTACCGGTGAAAATAAGGGAGTATTGACTATGTTAGTTTTGTTATGTGAGACAATTACCTGAAGATGCACTGATAAGGATTGTTAAGAATTAGTATAATGGAGTTTTTGTGAGAAGTCGAGGGAGGCCAAAGATGAGTTGGTTGGAGCCTTGGAGGGAATTTAGAATGACATGAAGAAAAGGGTTTGCACAAGGGTATAGCTGTTAGTACTAAGTGAATGAAAGGAAATGTTGTTGGTGGATGACCATGGGAGATAAAGGCAGAGTATTGTTTTAAGTGTAACTTTGCACGAACTACCTTTGAATTAGCCCAAATTAGCATTACATAACTCTAAAATGTAATAATAGTTGTTTGGGTGAAATTAGTTTTGTTGGTAGCTAGGGATCTAAGGTTTATTTAATTATTTTCTAATAATATTTAAGGAAAAATTGGTAAAAATAATCCCAATTTTCACCAGCTCGCTCAAAATAATCCCAAAACTTTGGATAATTTTTAAATAATCCGAACTTTGGGGGTCATTAGCTCAAAATGGTCCCAACCGGTCACCTACCTGTTATAGTAGGTTACGGTGACACGTGTCACCACATGAATGGTTGAAAACTAAATAATTTTTTTTTACAAAAAAACTTAAAAAAATTAAAAATAAAAAGAAAAACTTAAATAATCAAACAAAAACCCAGCCCCACCCATAACCACCGTCCCCACCACCAGCCACGACCTTCCCGGAACCCCCCACCTTTGTCGCCGCGCGAAATACCCCACGCCGGCGCCTTGACCCTTCCTCTGCGTGTCGGCGCCAGCGCTTCCCTCCTGTATCCCCTAAATCACCTAAATTCGACCCCAAAACCACCATTATCAAATTTATCACGACCCGAACCCTTAAAAACACCCAGCCACACCGCAAAACCCTCCAAACGACCATCCCCCACCCTCGAAACCCTAGCGACTAGGGTTCCGAGGGTGGGAGAGGGCCGATTAGGGGGTTTGTGCGGTGGGGTTGCATTTTTTTTAGGTGTTTCGGGTTTGAGTGAGGAGGTTTTCAGGTGGTGGTGGTTTAGGGGGTAGGGGGAGCGGAAGCGCCGGAGTCGGCGCGGGGAAGAGGGGTTCTGGTCGCGGCGGCGGTTAGGGGCGGGGGGTTGGCCGGTGGGAGGAGGTGACTGCCAGCAAGTTGGTGGCGGATGGGGTTGTTTTTTTTAGTTTATTAATTATTTTTAAATTTTTTTTTTCAACTAATCATATGATGACATGCGTACCTTAAACTAAAAAAAAATAATAATAATTGTTTAACAGGTTACCGATCACATGGGACTATTTTGAGCATATAACCCCCAAAGTTCGGATTATTTAAAAATAATCCAAAAGTTGGGATTATTTTGAGCGAATCAGCGAAAGTTGGGATTATTTTTACCAATTTTTCCTATTTTTAATTTGTTTTCTAATATTTCTAATTTGTAAGCGTTACCAATGAGCATTATGGGTGTTTCTTGTTGAAACATAATAAATGTATTTTTTGCTTTTAGGAGTTGGATCAAAGACTTGTTTAATAAAAACTACTACCTCCGTTAAGTATTAGTTGCAACTTTGGAATATCTTATGTGTCACAAATAATACCCTAAGGTTGCAACTAATACTTAACGGAGGTAGTACTAAATCTGGAATTGTTTTGTTTAATGAGCATTGTGGTTGTTTCAAATTTGCAGTTGTTTTGCTGTAGAATTGCAGCTGTTCTTTAGATAGTTGGTGAATCTAGTTGACTTTGTTACATTACTGCTATTATGTTAATTACTACTCTGTAACTTTGTTGTCTAATATCTGGAATCCATTGACAGCCCTGTTTCTTTAAGACTCATATAATTGTTTCTCTCGCAGCCTATTGTGAACCTTACATTTGTTGGTGATTCTGAGTACATCGTGTCCACCTCACAAGGTTCAAGGCCCCAATTATCTCTCTGGTGCTTGTCAAAGCTGTCCAGAGCATGGTCTTACGGCATTTTGGTTGAAGGTTTGCACATTTCTTTAACACTGATACTTTCTCAGGGTGTTTATTATGTTTGCTTTGGTATTCCGGATGTTAATGTTGCTGACACAAATAAATAACCGATATTCTTCTCTTCATTTATATTTCTTGATGCGATGACATTGATGACTTAATTTTTTATTTTTATTTTTATTTTTTTTTATCTTTTTTATGTAAACATAATAAAATGCATGATTTTTGATAGTTGGCCTTTTTAGAAAGCATGGCAAATGATTATTGTTATATCATAAATGCCATTTGAAACTTGTGTTGCTTGAATTGTGCTAGTCAGAACTTATTGTTCTTTACTCAATTAGAAAAAGGTATAAAAAAAAAAAATTCCCTCTAATTGTGCGTCAAATAGCTTTTATATAAGAAATTAAATCAAAACACTTATTAGGATTTTATAATGCTTTTTATCATAAGCCTTTTTCTTATGGGGTGAAAGTGTTTCTTTTCTCTCTCTATCATGAATTAACTCATTATAATGTACCCCCCTGTTTCTAAATCTTGTCTCTGCTTAGAATGTTCCATTTTAGCGAGAAACTTCGACCATGATTGTACATTGGAACATGTGCAAAAAGCACACAAGAACAATAATTAGAAGCTGAGAGAGTATTATTATTTTTTTGAAAAATGCAACTCTAGGGAAAAGATTCCATCTTCTGCTAGCTTTAATATGTTGTCCTCATGCATAGCTTGAATTATCAAAATCAAAAACAATTTCCCAATTCCCACCCCCCCCCCCGGTCTCTCTGTTTCTCACATCTATGACATTTGAGATCCGGTTGCAACTGCTGCAATTATTAGTAGTAGAATTTTTCCTAAATTGCTTAAATTGCGTCCTGTTTTTAACTCTTGCCTTTTCTATCTCTGGCGGTTGTGCAGCTGTTGCTTGTATGGAAGATGATCCCTTTTTCGCAGTGCTTGCTGTTTTTCCCGATTCATCTGTATTGACTGAATCACACAGAAGTTCAATTTCTTCTGGAGATGGCATGATTTTGTTGTTTGATATAAACTCTCCAGTACCAGTTGGTACGTGGTTGGTTAGGAAGGTAATATTCTCTCTAGATTATCATTAATCACCGTATATTATGCTTTAGCAACAAGTTCTCCATGGTTTAGATTTAAAATTTTTAACATTTTATTGAAGCAAGTTTTTGTCCATTTTTTTTTACTTATGGTGGTGGAAGGGAGGCAGAGTGTGACATTGCTATCACATGTCCCGTATCATCAAACATAACAAGCAGAATAGGGGGCTGGACAAGGGTGAAGATGGTAAAGGCTAGTTTCTGATGGAGGGGAGCATTTATATATTTGAGAGTACACCAAGGGCATATTTATCATTATGTAATACTGAGTAATATATATTATATACTAAGTTGCCTGATGGAAAGGAGCAGTTATTATAAATTTTTAATTTTTTGTGTCCCATACCCATGTTCAATTGTAGGACAGATAGCCTGTCTCCAAAAAATTTTAAATGGTGAATTGAACATGTATTTGTACCTGATGGCTGATATCCATACCTGCTTTCAGGTAACATAAGTTCGTACAAGTATATTTGTAGAGAAATTGAAGTTCAGTGTTCGTCTGCAAAAGTCATTGGAGTCTTATATTATAAATCTGAAGGAATATGTTTGATTAGATGAGTCATTTGTACTGTTGCTTTGCTCGATTTATAAGACTACTGATTGGCATACATTTTCACATGCTAGGCTAAGGGAGGAGGGCTGGCATTTCTCCAACAAAGCCAGTTGTCATCATTGAAAAATAATCTTTCTGGAAGCCCATCTGCTTTGCTGGCATATTTTGATAGGGACCATGAATATGTTGTATTTGACCCTCTCAGCAAAGAACAACATGAACCCAACCTAAATCATAAAAAGGGTGCAGTGGATTTCGAGGAATCAGGTATGACTTGTATATATAAGCCCTTTCAATATCTTTTTTCTCAAAGCTTCGCTGGAACAAAAAGATCAGTTGCTTATTTTTTTTTGGTATAGGATTGTATGATTGATAGGTGTATTACTCTTCATATCTACATATTTTTTCTGTAATGGCTGTTGGATTGTATTGATTGATAAGCTGATATAGAACTTACTCTATAAATCATTATTTATGGCAAAGCTGAAATGTATTGGCTGATATTTCATTCTTTTTGGTAAACTCTTGGTTGTTTAAGGTTGATAATCATCATGGTATGACCTCTTACAAGTTACAAATGTTAAATGTTGGATTGGCAAGCTGAAATCAATACATGTGCTGGTTCATGCTGCATTTCTTGTAGACTTCATGTTTGTGTGTCTGTTGCCTAATTAACAAAATAATTATTTGCTATATAGAAGTTATATTGCTAAAACTTGTCTCAGTTACATTGGCCTAAGCTGATCAGAATCCATTTTTTTTTTTTATGTGTATTATAGTATCGTAACTGTGTGTCAGAGAGTGAAGATGAAAACTATGACTTACCAGGAAGAAGATTTTAAGAAACCTTTTCTGACAAATAATGGTAAAGATAGAGGGAGGGAAACTGGGTGGGCTGCAGTGGATATGCTTACAAGGATTTGGGAGATAATGAGAGTAGAAAGGCTTACATCTGTGTATAATTTTACTAGTAAAATTTGTTATGGATTTTAAGATAAAAGGCTATCAAATTAGGCTCTCAAAGAGAAGATGTAAAACTGTAGAGGATCCACTTTCTGAAAAGGAAAATCACTAGACACTTAGAAAGGTTCTTGTAGTTTGGTCATCCTCCCGTGTTTATAAGCAGGCTTAAGACTAAACCTACTCTGGGTTTCTGTTTCTGTTCTTCAACCTCCATAGTTGCTTTAGTTCTGAACAAGTTGTAGTTTCAGATCTTGGGCTGTATGCTTTCGAGTATGAAATTTCAGCTGCTGAGGTGTCTTTTAGTGAAGTCACGCTGAATTCTTATGGGAATGGAGCATGTCTTGCTCTTCTGCTGTAGATGAGGTTGCAGTTTGATTCAGTAAAGCGAACTCCTTTACCTTCCGAGTATGCCCTGAATTTGAGCCTTTGTCATGTCTTCCCAACTTCGGCTACCTACTTGCATAAGTAGTGTAGAAAGGAGAGTAGCTGTAACCTTGATACATTGGCATGATTTTCAACTAAATTGCTTCTTTGGATCTCACCTTTTGCTTTGAAAAATGTGGGTTGAATAAAACTAGTGAACACCCTAAATTTAGCGTGAAAATTTGGATTAATTTAGGACATGTATCAATTGCTCGTGATGTTACTACATTTGATTATGTATTTAGAAAAGTGACTGATTAATATGCTGTATCTTGTTTCAGGACAACATGGATATGCCTCTATTTATGGGGAGTTGCCAATTTTTGATCCCAAGAAAACTACACAAGCTACCATTTCACTATCAGAGCGGCCTTGGGAGACCATATTTAATGGTCCTTCACATACCCTTCCACCACTGACAAAACTATGTTCTGCGTTTTTGGAGTCATTGCTTGAAAAGAGAACAGCTGCCACTGGCTGATTTCTGAGCAGATTGAAGTGCAATTCAAATTAACTAGGAAATCATTTTTTATTATCTTCATTGTATATGTTGCCTATAAAAAAGAGCAGAGTATGGCAGATTTGAAGGAGAAGTAACAACTGTTTCGCGTAGATGTGTAACAAAATTCCAAGACCGCTAGATCTGAATCTGATCAGGGTGTTCTTTTTCGGGCCAGAAATTTAGGTATAATCAGCATAAAGAACAGAAAGAAGAAAGAGGATGAATACTTGTTGAAGAACAATTGATTAAATTTATCATTATAGCTGGTTTGTTCTTTTGTGCTTGGCACAAGCCTTCTTGTATGACTTTGTATTTTCGTACCTTAGCCTAGTGCGGTTGCTGGTAAAATTTGTAGCATTTTTGTTAGGTACATCAATTATAGCAGCAGAATGAAAATGAGCTTATTATTATTTTAAACCGTTCCATTCGATTTTTAAAAATCATTTCTACCCGTGTGAAGGGCAAGATTACATTAGGCTTATGTCCTTAAAAACTGCCGGTCTTTGAGTTAGAGGTCTTGCTAATGTACAAGTAACTTATGATTGTTGAAACAACATAAATTTAAGACGAGTATTTGATCATTCAAATTAGAACACAAATACAAATAGAAAGTTTAGAGAAATAAATAGGCTAAGGATTGGATTAAACCCGAGGAGAAAGAATTACCTCCATGATTAATTTCATTCGGAGATGAGTAATTGCTCATGATGCTATAGCATACTAATGTTGTCGCTAACACTAACTAATCTAGGTTGTTACACCTATAATGCTTATAACTAAGGACTAGGAAAAGCTACAGCAAACGTAAAATGCGAGATTGATTGTTTGATATGATGTCCATGCTTCTGGTGTTTCGTTCTGGTTTTATAGAGGCTTAGGATGGCAGTTACTGCACGTGGGATGATGGTTTTTTTATTCTTTTTTTTTGGCTGTTCATCCTTTTCATTTTGAATGGGAGTTATGGCCTGCTACTTCCTTTTGTCGCTCATCCTTGTTTTAAAAAGTTTTTAAAATCTGGCGTCGGATATATTATTGGGCTTTGGCCTTTATTTGTCTATTCGACTTCTATTGGACCTTGTTTGACTTTCGATCCATACCGTTTGACTTATCTGACATCAAAATTGGGCTTTATTGAACCAACATTTGTTATGGGTTGAGTACAAATTTTTCCCTAGACTCTAATGTATGCAGCTTCCCCTACACCCCCTTTCTATACTACGTCGTTTTATCTAGTAGCACTTTTTGTATTATTTTTTTTTCCTTTCCTTCTTTGCTTTCAATTCAAACAAGAATATAAACATTTTTACAAACCTCATTTGCTTCATTTTCTCTCTCTTCTTTTTCACTGATATCATTTTCTCTCTCTTGTTTTTTCTTTTTATTATAGTTTTTTAAATTTCTCTCTCTTCTTTCATGGAGATCAATGTAAATAATTCGTACTTTTAATGATAATCAGTCAATCGATTTTGATAATGCTTTGTTTTATGATTGTAATTGTATGATTATAATGTTTTGATTTCATAGTTTTTGTTGTATTGATTTTAATTTTGATAATGCTCTGGTTTTGGTATTATTGTTGTTCTTATAAGTTGATTAATAATTTAGGTTGTATTGTTCTTCTAATTCGATTGTTTTTTTTTGTTTTTGTATTTTTTTTATTGTAATGTTATTATTTGAGTGTTGTTTTTTTTATAGACTTCATTTTCTCTCTCATTTCTTTCACCAATTTCATTTTCTCTCTCCTCTTTTTCACCAATTTCATTTTCTCTCTCCTGGTTTTTTTTTGATTTATTGTTTTTCAATTTTCTCTCTCTTCTTTCATGGAGATCAATATAAGTAATTCTTACTTTTAATGATAATTAGTCAATTGTTTTGATAATGCTTTGTTTTACAATTGTAATTGGATGATTATAATGATCTGATTTCATAGTTTTTGTTGTATTGACTTTAATTTTGATAATGCTTTGGTTTTGTTATTGTTGTTATTAGTTGATTAATAATTTAGTTTGTATTGTTCATCTAATTCGGGGTTTTTTTTTTGTATTTTTGATTGTTGTTTATTCCAGTTTTGTGCGTTTCGTATGAGTATATATTGTTGTTTTAATTTTGCTATTCGATTATTTTTACCAATTTTGTGCGTCGTAAAAAAATAATCTTAGTTAAAATAATGATCACTTCTGTAACAGTAAATATTCATTTATATTTAATGTATTTTTTATGTATTAAAATACTTGTATATGTTTATTGTAGTTGTATTTGAATACTTATGTTGTACATGTGAATTTCAATTATTTTCATTGTTTTATAAATGCTCATATACATTTTAACTAGTGAATATATTTTATATTTGTTCTGTTGTAATAATGTTCATTTATGTAATTATAAATGTTCATTTATATATATACTTGTGTTTATGGAATTATATGTTGTACATGTGACTTTTTTTTAATGATTATCACTATTTTGTAGTTTCAGAAATAATGTTCAGTTATATGACGATAGATGATCATTTATGTTTTACATTTGGTAATTCAACTGTAATTGACCAAATGCATCATTATAATTGAACATTATTGCTAATGTAATTTATTACATGTTACATTATTGCAGTGAGAAAAAAGGATATTATTATTTTTGAAGAAGCAAGTAAGTCTGAGTTAGTGGGGAACGAAACAATTTAAAACCGCTGATGAAGTTTATGAAATGTGTTCAAATTCCAATTATATGGTCAAGCAAATAATCAAGTTGCTACTAGTGTTCAAAAGATCGAGTGCTCAACTTCCTCCCATTATCTTCCAAAAATGTAAAAATTCCTATAAATGCTCAAATGGCTCTAATATTTATAAGAATATCTTTAACCTTTTGTTATTAGGATCTTGCTAACGAGCGCCCCGGGGCGTTAGATAAGGTTAAATTATATTGGTTGAAATAGTATTAAGTTAGGAATTCATGACAAAATCATGCGTCGTTCGGTGCAATTAATGTTAATTTTACTCTAATATTTGCACTTTAATTCTCTTATCTAACGCCCCGGGGCGCTCATTAGCTTTTGCCTTGTTATTAAGTACTATTCTTCTTATTGAATATTAATTTTTTTTTAAAATCTTCTATAAGTGAATATTTTAGTATTTGTAATTGAGCATTTAGTTTTTAAAAATGATCATTAAGTTTTTGTAAAGAATCATTTAGCTTTTGTGAATGATCAAAATTGATTAACATAATACTTTACATAAAATCCGCAATTTTCATATAAAATTGTAAGAATTATTCTATAAACAAATAATATCTACTCCGTATCAAACTTTAAACGTATAAAATTAAATAGTTAATCACATAGAGTAATTCTGTTAACAAATAATATCTACGAAGTATAAGTTTTATCAACCAGCTATGGACATATATCTATCCATAAGTGAACATATTATATTATGCCTTTGCAAATCTTCTTGATGTTATTCTATTATTCTTAGACTCATGGTTTTTCTTCAGTAGCATTAGTTGAGCAGTGTATTGCAATTTGCATCCCCAACCTTGTGATTTAGCCTACATGTTAATGAAAATGAATTGTTATTAAAATAAACAGTACATTAAGTGTTATATAATTGAACATTATGTGCTACAAAATTGAACACTAAATACTATAACTTGTTTATTTAATTTTACTTAAAATGTTAGCTTTAAAGGCACAAACATTATGTGCTACAAAATTGAACACTAAATATTATTTTGCCAAATCGTTTATTTTTATCACATTGGTGTATCGTTTAAAAATACTTTTAGTAAAAAAAATGATCACTTGTGTAATAGTAAATGTTCATTTATGTTTAATGTATGTTTCTGTAGTAAACTATAGGTTTATTGTAGTCGTATACGAAAATATATGTTGTACATGTAAATTTGAATGATTTTCATTCTTTTAAAGATGCTCATGTAAATTTTAACTAGTGAACATATTTTAATATTTATAACCTCAAAAAAAATAGTTTAACATTTGTTATTCTGTTTTGTTGTAATAATGTCCAATTATGCAATTATAAATGTTCATTTATATATACACTTGTGTTTATGGAATTATAAGTTGTACATGCAACTTTTAATGATATCACTGTTTTGTAGTTTCATTAATAATGTTCAGTTATGTAACTATAGATGATCATATATATTTTTACATATGGTAATTTTACTGTAATTGATCAAATGCATTATTGTAATTGACCATTATTGCTACTGTATTTGTTCATTTATTACATTTTTAATTATTGCAGTGGGAATAGAGGATGCTGTTATTTTTGAAGAAGCAAGTCACTTTGATTTTCGGAGGAAACAATTTCCTTCGGTAGATGATGCTTATGGAATATATAATGAGTATGCTTTTATGAAAGGTTTGGGATCAGAGTTAGGAGGAGTAAGAGGCGAAAGGATGGCTCATTTTTTATGAAAGGATTTATTTGTTCTAATAAGGGGTTATAAAGATAATAAGTGTAGAAATATTAGATCCTATGAGTGACTTGATACAAGAACTAAATGTTTAACTTTTGTACAGTTTCCTATTGATCGTTAAGGTGTGTTTATGAACATATTCTAATATAGTTAGTGAATGATGGTTCAAAGTCGTAAAAAAATATTAGTATTATATATATACTATTTAAATGTTTGCTTTTGAACGATGTGATTTGTAATAATACTTTGGGAAACAAAAAGTTTATATCCTTCTTATTAAAATCAAATAGAAATTGTATATCACCAAAAATTAAACTATTGAATATTAAATATACAATTCAATTCTACACATATTGATGTTGCGCGAATCCATGCATTCTTGATTTCCTTATTTTTGTCGTCTGATCTTTCTTTTTTTTCCTTGCTAAATATCCACGATTCTTTGTTTAACTAATCGACAAAAACAAGATTTTTTTAGTTAGATTTGAGCAAGAATAAGTGTTGAAATGAACCAATTTTCATATGAATATGAAAATATAACAATTGAAATGATCGATATGGAAATGAACATATATTAATATATAAATGAACATATATATTTGTAGAATTGATCATCTATTAATATGGAATGAACAACTATTAATACAATAATGAACATATTTACATAATTGAATATGAAAATGTACATCTATTAATATATAAATGAACATGCATTAGTTTAAAAATGCCTATGAAAGATATCAATCGATGAACATGAAATATATACGTAAATAACACTTGAAGCTATCAATATGTGATTTATCATACATCCATCTGAAAAAAGACATGTTGAAAGCTCAAAATTTAACCGAGTATGAAATATTTGAAGAAGATGACCAAAATATAAATATTTATCAAAATTCTAGTAATCGTATATTAATATGTGAAAACCATATACTTTTATGCGATTGAACATCTACCAAAATACAACCGAATATTCATCTAAAATCACTTTCCACTC